TTTAGAGCTAGCCAGCATTTTATTAAAAATCACCCAAACTTTCTTAAGCTGCAACAATCTAGCACACACATCGACTTACAATATAATACTCGCTCTATTTAGAATTATAAGAATATATCAAATTATTAAACGCCTACTGCCTTTTTTATGAAAAGCATAAAAGTAAAAAAGTTATTGAGTAAACGGTGCCTTTTCTTTAGGAATAAAATGCATATTAAGCTTTTTTAATAGTGCTTTACAAAGTTAAGCTTGAACTATGAGCTTTTCCATTGGGTCACACCCGTGTCAATACTTCATTATATAAAGTACACAATAAAGTTGGCCCTAGTAATAAGGTTATACATGTATATTCTATTATCTGCATATTTTTAGGTGGGTATACACTTGCACAAAAGCCGACCAGGGAAAAAAGGCAATACGCATACGTTAATTTTACAAGAACACAGGGAAATTGACTGGCAGCGATCTCCCTTTTTGTGCACACCACAAAATTCTGCCCCTGGAGTGTTCTATTTTTATTTCTCTATGCTTGCGAGCCATCAAGCCAAGTCAGAGGCCAGGTCACGCCCCGAGTATCGTGCCATTTTACTGGCAATCATGGATCAATATTGAGATTTTTGCAGCCAAGCTCGGACTTGACCACTCCCTGATTTCAGTTTCCAATCAGAAGGGGTCGATCGCTCCTACCACCTTTCTCCCCTGAGTTTCAGTCTGTTTGACGTTCACTTTTAGCACAGAGATGTGTGCCAAGTGTTACGGTTGACTTTTAGTAGGCAAGTACGTTCCAAATCACCTAACACCTACGTTTTAGAGACGGCATCATAAGGTATTGTGATGTCATACGTTTTACGTATCTACATCATCAATGAGCATTGATTTTGGCCAGATGTATGGGCTTATTGTAAATAACGTTTGTATACTTTTTTAAATTTGATTTTCAGAGAAAGCCAAGATATTATTTTAACCAACTGATTAGTTGCACATGTTTAATTTCACAGAACATTGAGATTGAATCCATACAACTTTATAATAAGTTTCCACTCCAACATTCTGCAATTGGACCAGGCTTACATTGCTATGTATACGAGTGGATGTAATACATCCTTTACCTGTTTTAGTTATTAATTTTTTTTTTAAATCATACTGCAGAATCATCACTTTTACAACTTTCCCATTTAAAATTTTTTTATAGAAATTATAGTTTCTGAGTTATTTAACATCAACTAAAAAAAAGTTAAATCTTTATTTTGAAAAAATTAACTCCTACTCACGCCTACTTTAAAAAATGTTGTCCAAAAATTCTTTAATCCCCCAGTATTTAAGTTATCATCCACATGATAATACTTTTGATGGCTAATGTAACTTTACAAAAAATCAGATTGAGAAACATTGTTTCTTTTAAATTCGCGCAAAATTTATAGCCATAAGCACCTACATTTTACAGCTAATAATAAGCTACATTTATAGGTAGATTGTACTTGATTATAGCTCTAAATATAGGTCTTTATAGCTATAATTAAAGCAACAATTATCAACTAAATTTGTTGACGATGGAACGAGCCGGAAGCAGGAATCACCAGGAGAGACAATTAAAACACACAAATTTATTTGATCAAAAGAAATATATTGACGCTAATTTAGTACATAGCCTTTTAGGCACCATACGCACCTTATTCGCTCGCAGCCTGTGAATATCTGCCACTCGCTACAGCGAGGGAGCGTCGCGCCACTTGCGCCGCCGCGCTCGTTCCTCCCGTCCGTTCCACCGCAGTTCTATACCCCGCATTTCGCCTGTTTCTCGCGAGCTTCAATGTTAGAGCACTGTACGTCGATAATGAAGGAGCAAACCGCCAAATTCAAAAACTGTACCAATTGATATAAAAAGAAACATCACAGCTTATTTCTTCGTGTCATTGAGACTACTTTTCAGCCTGAACGGCCCCAGACCTGCATCTGTGCACGCTAGTTTCGACATTCAGTACAACCGAAACTTCTCGCTCCAATGAGGTCTATGATAACAAATAGTGGCTTGACGTCCGCGAGCTTCTCGCGCCTAAAACAAGTCGCCTCGATGACTTCACAAAAAAGGCAAATCGAAATCCACGTCGTATATTTACTGTTTGCTCCTCCCCACACGACCGCATTCAATCATTGCATCATACCTTAGCCAAAATCACATATGTTTTACCTCTGATGTGGAGGACAAGACGGTTCGACAACAAACCAAGAGTTACCACCAAGCAAACAGCCATTCAAAATATTTTTGATTAGCTGGATAAAAGAAAATAGTGTTTATATTGTTTTTATTAATGCTGTAAAACAGTAAGTAAATGCTTTTAACACAGTTAGTTGTATTCGATTACTTATTATTTAATAGCTACATCTATTTATTTTCTGTTTATTCAAATTATTTTCCTATTACTAGTATACAGAATGTACCATTATGATTCTCGTTCACGTATGCTGTCTATTTAAATAGAGCGCCATCTTATTGATGCACTGCTGCAACTTTTATGGCACGTTCGCACTCATAGTACCTGAACAAAACAATTTTCACATTCCCTGTTTTTCTCGCTATTTTCTCAAAATTTAACGTGTTGATCCTATCCTTTTTTTTTAAATGATAGATTCCTTATAATCTAAACTTCATGTACCAATGTATTGTGTGGGCCCTCAGCTTTTTATTGCTGTACGGTTGTCAATCGAATGTCAGGTTTCTCGAGGTTACGTGTTAAATTAACAAATTTTGGTGAGCGATTTTCTCGAAAATAAATATGTTGAACTACCTATTTTTTTTCATAAGAAAATCTAGCATAATTTTTTCACATAATCTTTAAATTTTAGAGCTAGCCAGCATTTTATTAAAAATCACCCAAACTTTCTTAAGCTGCAACAATCTAGCACACACATCGACTTACAATATAATACTCGCTCTATTTAGAATTATAAGAATATATCAAATTATTAAACGCCTACTGCCTTTTTTATGAAAAGCATAAAAGTAAAAAAGTTATTGAGTAAACGGTGCCTTTTCTTTAGGAATAAAATGCATATTAAGCTTTTTTAATAGTGCTTTACAAAGTTAAGCTTGAACTATGAGCTTTTCCATTGGGTCACACCCGTGTCAATACTTCATTATATAAAGTACACAATAAAGTTGGCCCTAGTAATAAGGTTATACATGTATATTCTATTATCTGCATATTTTTAGGTGGGTATACACTTGCACAAAAGCCGACCAGGGAAAAAAGGCAATACGCATACGTTAATTTTACAAGAACACAGGGAAATTGACTGGCAGCGATCTCCCTTTTTGTGCACACCACAAAATTCTGCCCCTGGAGTGTTCTATTTTTATTTCTCTATGCTTGCGAGCCATCAAGCCAAGTCAGAGGCCAGGTCACGCCCCGAGTATCGTGCCATTTTACTGGCAATCATGGATCAATATTGAGATTTTTGCAGCCAAGCTCGGACTTGACCACTCCCTGATTTCAGTTTCCAATCAGAAGGGGTCGATCNAACAACAGTATTTATATTAATTAATTTTTAATGATATTTAACAAACAAAAAAAGTGTATTTAAGGGACATGAAACATTTATTTGTTAAATCATTGTACATTAAATGTAATATCATAAGTTACATTACAATCTGTTAGATAAGTTATTTTAATACCACAAAAATCTTGCCTTAATCTCATAAATTTTGTGTTTATTACAAATAACTGTATGCCAATATCACATCAATGTTGCACTCTAATATTATAAAAATAAAGCTTCATTAAAACGAAATATATACGTAAAAAACCTCTTCAGTCTTGCCAGTTAAGGATTGTAGGAAAAAAGAACTAAAATTTATAGGATTCATAGCAACTGAATTTACCAAAAAATCACTTTGTGTAATATTTTGAATATTCGATTTGAATATTTTGTATATTTCTCTCCATCTTCTTTTTGTATCATCACACCATTCTTATTTTTAGTCAAGTCACGATCCACAGTTAAACTTACTTACTTACTTATAAAATAAGACAGACAAGAGAAATTCAAACCTAAGACTAAGGTTAAGTTAATCAGCTTTGTTTTGATTCGAACAGAATGACAGCGTCTGCTACAGACGCAGAGTTCTCAGGCTCATTGTGCCTCAAGCGTAGTGCCCATCATGTTCCCTAGAAGCCATGTTTTGAAATAAATATAACTTTTTAATGGTGGAAGATAAAAATTTTTTTTCAACGGATCTTAAAAGTAAATCAAACAGACTGTTGGCGAAAATTCACGAGATAATTACTGGAGATAATTTTTATTGTAAAAAGAAGCCGTGAAGCTATCATTGTCCGCAGGGTTATTTATTAAAATATTTTCATAAATTTTTACAAGTTATNCTACATTATTAATCTTAATAATTTTGGTATCTATTTCTGGATAAAAATTTATTAAATGTAACGTAGATGGAAAATGTAAGTGCCGCCGTATGCACAGCGTGCGTACTTAGTGATAATCTTGTAAAAAAATCTTAGTAGGCTTTGTATTACCATTTAAAACAGGGCTTAGTAAGTATTATATTTTTCTCTTACTTTACTGTAGATCATTTTTATAGAAATATTATTCATTAATCCAAGTACTATCCGAGAAATAATAATAATAAAGCATATTCCAAATATATTGCGTAAAAATACCCAAAGCAAGTACATATGAGATCTCTCAAATGTCCAATAGTGTTTTAAGAAACTTTTGCACTGTGTTTATGCTGAATTAAATAATTATTTTTTCAAAGTTTGTCAGTAGACATATACAGTTCATGAATAATATTTACGTAAAAAATAATCCTCAGACTCAAAATATTTGCAAATAGTAGTGTGATAATACGTCGAATTGTCAAATTTTGTCTCGTTGCAATCAATCACCAAAGTCCTAACGTCACCTCTGGTGTACTGAATTAACTGACTTTTCAACTTTACAGCACTTAATATAGAAAGTAAGAATTAAATAATACGTTACTTTACCTTAAGCTTCTCAAAGTGATTTTTTCTTTTGTCATTTTTGGAGAGTTGCAGCTAATCAGAAGCAAAGTACCTTTGTTATAAACGTTATGGAAGAAGTTTAGGGTTGTCCTTGACGGTGTACTCTTTTGGATTTATGAAATTAATTTGAAGAGTTTGATCTAAAATAAATAAAATTCTCATTAAATACAGTGTGAAGCAGATACTAAAGGTTAAAATTATATCATAATTTAAGTAAGTAATGACCACTGCAACTATACGATTATGTTTCACTTGCTCGAGTCATTTAATTGAAGTAAATAAAAAAAATATTTTGACAGTGATGTAGAATAAAAGGATTAGTGTACGAACACTTTTTTAGACAGTTTTGTTTTATCATTATTTTATAAATAAATTTCTTTATTATATAGTAACAAAACAGTTGTTCCAGCAGGAAGTTTACTCTTTTGCCTATCGATAAGGAAAATGAAATTTTTTAGGACACGAACACCACTAATAAATTAATTTGTGAATAATAACTTAGTACAAAAACAGCATATTTCTGGTATTGACACTGTATCGTATTTTCAACCTAATATTAAAACAACCCAAGTTAATTAATTGGAAGAGAGGTTAAGTTAGCTACATGTTACCTAATTTCTCTTTCATCATGTACAAAGCATCATTTATTGCATCTTTAAAGAATTAAATGAAAAATGGGAAAGATTAAAAATTTTATTTTATCAAAAAAAAAAGGTCTAAGGATATCAAGAAATTAACAAAAAATGCGTTGATTAGAGAAATTTGCTACATGCAATCTGAACAAAAAGGGTATTATTTTTTTATGTAACAGTTTGAAAAAAAAAAAAAAAACGTTTGTTAAATACACAGTACCAGAGGCAATGGATATAACATATTATAATTCTTCAGAACTAATCATGTTAAGATATCTGATCACAAAATCAAAATACTTTAAGTGTGCATAAAACTGCAGCGCTTACGCTTAAATATTAATTGAATCATCTTACGAAATTTCAAACCATGTTGCCAGGCAATTTTCTCATAACAAATCTCTTACAAATTTTATTCTCAACGTGGTCTCTCATCTAGAGGCCATTCAGTCTTGATAACATTTGATACAAAGTCTTCCAAATGATACTTGAACTCTTATTATAAAATTCAGTACTGAAAATAGAAATCATAGGCTTTTTTAATGATATAAAAAAAATTGAAGGTTGCCAAGAAATATTGTATAATATTTTATTAATGAGGTAACTGCTAGTAGAAAGATACAGGTTACTTTAACCATGACAAATTTAGCACTCGATGTTTGTAGGTGTAATGGTCTGATGTCACGTAAACAGGTAGTACAGATGTGAAAAGCCACCTTTAATAAGTAACAATATAAGAGATAAGGAATAGTAGGGCATGACGGGCACCCATTATTGTTTACACTCTTACAATTTTTTTCCACCTTAAATATAATTCTCCAGTTGAGCATCTTTCAGAGCGTCACACATAGAATAAAACTACCCGAAATAAAAAATATTTAAATCAATAAATAATTAGTTATCATATAATAAAATATAGTTCTTAAAAATGCTCATTCTGCCCCCCTGCGGGCACAGTGAACATAGCTGTAGGGTACGATGAGCGCGGGATGATTGAAATAATTCGATGGTAGGTGAACAACAGTATTTATATTAATTAATTTTTAATGATATTTAACAAACATAAAAAATTTATTTAAGAAACATAAAACATTTATTTGTTAAATCATTGTACATTAAAAATGTAATATCACAAGTTACATTACAATCTGTTAGATAAGTTATTTTAAAACCACAAACATCTTGCCTTAATCTCATAAATTTTGTGTTTAGTACAAATAACTGTATGCCAATATCACATCAATGTTGCACTCTAATATTATAAAAATAAAGCTTCATTAAAATGAAATATATACGTAAAAAACCTCTTCAGTCTTGCCAGTTTAAGATTGTAGGAAAAAAGAACTAAAATTTATAGGATTCATAGCAACTGAATTTACCAAAGAATCACTTTGTGTAATATTTTAAATATTCGATTTGAATATTATGAATATTTCTCTCCATCTTCTTTTTGTATCGTCACACCATTCTTATTTTTAGTCAAGTCACGATCCACAATTAAACTTACTTACTTATAAAATAAGACAGACTAGAGAAATTCAAAGCTAAGACTAAGGTTAAGTTAATCAGCTTTGTTTTGATTCGAACAGAATGACAGCGTCTGCTGCAGACGCAGAGTTCTCAGGCTCATTGTGCCTCAAACGCGGTGCCCATCATGTCCCCTAGAAGCCATGTTTTAAAATATATATAACTTTTTAATGGTGGAAGATAAAAATTTTTTTTCAACGGATCTTGAAAGTAAATCAAACAGACTGTTGGAGAAACTTTACGAGATAATTACTGGAGATAATTTTTATTGTAAAAAGAAGCCGTGAAGCTATCATTGTCCGCAGGGTTATTTATTAAAATATTTTTATGAATTTTTACAATTTATTTAATTACTTTTTATCATGATACTCTTTGAGGAAAATAGTGTTGATATTTTACAATGTAAAAAAATTTATTTGAGAGAAAAACATTAATTTTTTCATTGAGTACATGAGGTGCCCGAGTTACCCTACAAACTCACGCTGCCCCACTATCCCTTACACACGGATTATAGAAACCACTGTGTGACGTGAGGCACGGTAAGAGGGCGCATGCATGGCACTGGCCGTCTTCAATCTAATTTTTTCTCACTGGGCACTTATGACACTAGTTACACAAGTAATATAAGTTAAGTCATATTCTTACATTCCTTTTTTAATTTATATTGTGTTAAACGTTTCTCTTATCCTTTCAAATCTGTTCTGTCCTAACAATTGTTTAAATTTAAACTCATTGCAATCGCAGTATCTTTAAAAGTTACATAAAATATTCCTTTATATGTTCTAATGCCTTTGAACGATGTCGAACCAGTCACTTTATTTAATACAAGTTAAAAAAAAAACTTTTATGATCTTTTGGAGATACAATGTTTAATCGACCAATTGCAATATGTTTTATTATATTTTTCCTTTAAGATTAATTTTTAGTTTAAGATTTCTATTTAAATTNGAATTTAATCAATAAAATAATAATGTATACCTTTTTTCTCTAAACATCACGGAGAGTTCTAAAAAAACTCTCAATGTACCACAATAGTACCTTCTGGGTGGTGTGGAAATTTACTGATTAATATATAACTAATGCTTATGTCAATCAAAAACTCTCCTTCCTCACGAAATTCTGGGCACCAACAGACTTTCCTTTTAAGTTAGAACAGTAGAGGGTTGACGCGCAGATTTCGCAGGAGGGCAAGACCCAACTAGTACACACACATACACACACACACACACATATATATATATATACACGCGATGGCAACGAGCCATCATCATCCTTGGGCACACATGGTCGGACGTACGCAAAACATCCCNGTTATAAATGTAAGTTTTTCAAAAAAAGATTTGTATTAATATTTTTTTAAGCCTTAAAGAATGATGAATATAATTGTTAGGATGAAAATAACATGTTGAAGTATATTTTACAGAATTCGGAAGACTATGGCATTTTTTGAAAATAGTCAGGAATAAATTTTCTATGCTGGGTAATGATTACTGGTCTGCTTTTAAGAAAATGTGAAGAACAAGCTGCTAATTTTCAATAAAAGTGGTAAAGTTTATATAGACAGAGAGATGTGCCCTTGAATTTTGTTGGTGAGCTTTATTTTTTCAATTAGTGGCTCCCATTTTTAAATGAGCTGTCTATCCTCTATGTGTCAATAGATATTTCTAAGCTCTTATAACTACATTTGCCCCCTGCGTGCTCTGCGCACCAAGCCATAATTGCAAATTAGATTTACAAAGTATGGAAAAAAACCCTAATTATATTAATTGTTACTTAAAATTTATAAATGTAAAAAATGTATATTGATCATAATTAATTACATGAATTTTTAACAATCACTTTTTATTTTCTCTGACTAATAACAGCTATTTCTATGGAATTAGTAGGAAACGATTTTCAAAACGATATAATTTTTGAAGAAGCATGTAACGTTATGCTGCCTTTTCAACTACGAAAATTTTTCGCATGGTTTACTATGTCTGAAAATTTTTTTTGTAATATTATTTGGAACAAATACAAAAAAGTTTTTATTGAAGATTGTAAAGATGATCAAAATAAAGCTCTTTTACATGTAAACAAAATTTTTAATTCTTAAAGTATGTCTTGTAAAGATTTCATTTTACCAGGACCAACGGAAACGATAAAAAAAAAATATTGATGCTGACAATAATGAAAGAACATTTTGTAAACATAAATTCCATGGAATGTTTTCATAACTAAGTCATGATCAACGTCGAATTTTTCAAGAAATAATAAAATTTAAAAAAAAAATTTTTTTCATCGATGGTCCTGGTGGATCTGGA